CACACTCTAACCTATGACGTAGCAAAATATCCTCGGAATATAACAGCATAAATTTCTATTATGGGTCGAAAAACATTCAACAGGCTCAATTTTATACATATCGTCATATTTCGGTCTAAATTCCATGTTACGACAGTCCTACATTACGTTCCGTTAAATAGCATCTCCGTAAATGGCGTGGTACAGGGATAGCTTTACTTTACCGGAAGTCGAACTGCGACCCCTGAGTCGTCCAGCCCGTAGCCAGTCGCTCTACTGACTACGCTACCACGGCTCTTACCCAATGGGTACCGGGGGGAGTAAAGCGGCCAGAGCGTGAAGCTTACCGCTCATCTCCATCTAATGCTGAGATCAAGAAAGGCGGAGTTATACTTCCACTCCTCCATACGTCTTCATAGTATGGTGTTTAATTAATTAAGCACAGGGACATATTTACGTCTCTCGTTACCTTGTCTTTTAGAATGTGAAGACATTGGTATGTAAGTATGTAGTAAGTTCTGACGGCAGGGAATGACGGGATGTTACGATAGTATGCCCCGTTAAAGGGTACCAGTTTCCTAATTCTTACACATTCACCATTCACAATAAATTAGCCGTTGGACACTTATTAATTAGTCCGGGAGTCGAACCAAGCCGTTAAACAACACAAACGTAGGATTTGAGGTTCATACAGCGGTCGCTATGAACTATACAATGCTATGTAGTCCGTTGTAACATACTGTTTCCATCTTCAGGGCCGAACTTGCCATCTGCTTTCACGAAGGTTTCTTGCTTGGTTTATTCTTCGACCCTGAAGATGGAGGCGATTGACTTTCAGTGGACTACACGGCGGTACATCCGGACGACACAGTTGATTAGGAAGCTGGGAACCGGTATAGCACCGAAACCTTCACATCAGCCTTGAATTCGCAACTGCATGGGTTTTTACTCAGCCGATGAACAAGGAAAGGATTCATAACGGCGATTCTCGGAATATTCTGCTTGACTGCGGTGTATGCTCAGTCTCAGACCGAGATAAAGCATCGTCACAAACAGGTCTGTCAAAAACTAGGGGCGAGGGCTCACCAAGGAAACTGGCAACCGCAACGCAACCGCAATTTCCGAGAATTGTTATCAGCCTGAGTTGAATACTTGTTACTGGATGGAGCAGCGCAAATTGAGGAAACTGTAGCTCGGGGAGTCACATGAACACTTCGGTCTCTTAGTGTGAGGGCTCACAAAGGAAACTGGCAACCGCAACGCAACCGCAATTTCTGAGAATTGTTATCAGCCTGAGTTGAACACATGTTACTCGATGGAGCAGCGCGAATTGAGGAAACGGCAACGCAGTTTCCTGTTACTGAACGGAGCAACGCAAATTGAGGAAACTGCGTTGCCGTTTCCTCAATTCGCGCTGCTCCATCGAGTAACATGTGTTCAACTCAGGCTCATAACAATTCTCGGAAATTGCGGTTGCTTTGCGGTTGCCAGTTGCCTTGGTGTGCCCTCGCCCTAATGCTTTACACTGGTATTCGTGACATATTCCGTTCGAATCTCGGTGACCATGGCGTCTAACCGCATCTAAGTTATTCGTAGTTTTCCTCAGTCCCTCTAGGCAAATTCCAGGGAAGTACCTCGCTTAGACCATGATGTCTTCCGTTCAAATAATTTGCCATTCATAATTCATCAATCTTCTTACAGTTCGACCTTATATAATTTCTACGTTGTCTGCGTCATAAAAGAAGACACAAGACAGAGAGAGAGAGAGAGAGAGAGAAATAAGAAACACAGTCTATCTATCTATGGTTCTATAGCCCTATTGTTGGACCTTAGACGCTTTTTCAATTTCTTGATCCTTTACACAGTCCGTAGGACTCCTTGGACGGGGGATCAGCCAGTCGCAAGGCCGCGTCCTACCTACAGAACAACACAAACATGGAATAAACATACACATTCATGCCATGAGTGGGACTGGAACCCAGTCTCCCAGTGTTTGAGCGAGCGAAGACAGATCATGCCTCAGACCACGTGGCCGCTGTGACCGACGGATCCGGTTCTTGTCCTTTTCCGTCTTGCGTTCTACCCGTCATTTTGTATCAATAACACAGTCCCACTGTAGTAAAGAAAACTTATCCTTTTTCCACCGCGGCGGCCCGGGTTCAATCCCGGCTCTGGTCAAGTGGGATTTATGGTGGACAAAGTGGCGCTGGGGAAGGTTTTCTCCCAGTACTTCGGTTTCCCCTGCCAATCTTCATTCCACCAATTGCTCCACAAACACCCTCACCTATCATCTGGGGCTGGTACAATAGGCCAGAAGTGGCCGCAGTACAAGGGACTTAGTCCCACCCCAATAGCAATAAAAAAATCTTTTTTTAATAAATATATTTTTACAACGACGTAATGTAAAGCAAAGTTATCCATTGCATATTTAATTAAGCACCATGCCGCGAAGGCGTATGGGAAGTGGAGGTATAGCTCCACTATTCTTCACCTTGATAATAGATGGACGTGAGTGGTCAGCTTCACGTCCCCGTTTCTTAATCTCTGGAGAAGGAGCTCCCGTATGCATTACGTAGTTGGCTTGGCGGGTTCTAGAGCCGGTCTAGGGGCTGTGGGGAAAAAGAAAATATATCTCCACTGCCGGGAATCGAATCGCTTTTGTCGAGCCCGCAGCCAAAAGCTACAGTTACTGAGCTATTGTTTTCGTTTAATGCTAGTGGGGTGGGACTATGTCCCTTGTACTGCGGCCACTTCTGGCCTATTGTACCAGCCCCAGATGATACGTGAGGGTGATTGTGGAGCAATTGGTGGAATGAAGATTGGCAGGGGAAACCGAAGTACTCGGATAAAACCTGCCCAAGCTCCACTTTGTCCACCACAAATCCCAATTGACCAGACCCGGGATCGATCCCGGGCCGCAGCGGTGAGAAGCCAGCGACTAACCGCTTGAGCTGTGGCGTGGCTCCACTTACTGAGCTATCCCGGCTCCTATACACACACACAATTCAAAATGGAGTGTCATTTTGGCAAGACCATACAGTCTTCGAATTACTGCAGTCTTAAGTTCTTAAAATCTAAAGACTCTGATAAATGCTATAGAATTCTTTATTACAATTATATAAACACAACATAGTTCAGTTAACATAAACACGATCATGTTTCAACATTAAAGGGAGGCAAGGAAGATTTCATGCAACTGAATTTTGTATGACTGAATAAGCCCAGTTTTAAGTTCCCTAATCCTTTGTGAAGGCGGGTTAGAACACCACCGTAGCCTTACAAGGTTGGAGAAAACTGCATAATGAAAAGCTTCATAACTTGTAGTCTTCTCCAAGTATTAGAATGATCAAGTCAAGGAGGATGAGATGGACAGGGCATGTAGCACGAATGGTGTAGTAGAGGAATGCATATAAGATATTGGTGGGAACGCCAGAAGGAAAGAGACCACTAGGAAGACCAAGACGTAGGTGGGTGGCTGATATTTGTGCACAGAACTATATGATAGAACATTTTTCTCTCGATTTGGAATCAGGTAATTAAAACTAATTTATTTCTTTAGTTTGCTTACATATTACAGTAATCTTGTTCAGTGTAACATACAATACCAATATTCAGAACAAGCTTATGCTTAACATTGCAGATGAAACACATAGCAGTAAAATACACATTCATATCTATAATCTCAAATATTCACAAAAGTAAACAAGATACAAGTGCCGGTCACGGTAGCCGAGAGGTCTAAGGCATGCACTGTCTTCGCTCGCTCGGAAGCCGGGATCGTGGGTTCGAATCCCACTCAGGGCATGGATGTTCGTGTGCGTTTTTCTGTGTTTGTCTACAGGTAGAGGCCTTGCGACGAGCTGATCACCCGCCCAAGGAGTCCTACCGTATGTGTAAGATCGAGAAAAACCGAAGTGAACGGAGTTCATGAAGGTAGGCCTAGGCCCACTGGGGCTGTAGTGCCAACGAAAAAAAAAAACAAAAAACAAAGAACAAGATACAGTGAAGTTACATATGCCGTTAATCATTGATAGGGGATGGATAATGTGTAACAAAGCAACTTACTATCCTAGCTTTCCATAAGAACACATATCTCCTCATTACTACGTCCTAAAAACTAAACTCCGCTGCTTTAGTCCGCAAGCGAACTATACCGCCACTTTTCGGCGAAGTTAGTGCAAACTTTAGCGGAGAGAGGGTGTCACGTGGTCAGCGCAACGAATCCCCACGGCCGTTGATTTCGGTTTTCTAGACCGGAGCCGCTATTTCCTTGAAATAGCTCCTCAGTTATCCTCACGAGGCTGAGTGGACCTCGTTCCAGACTCACTGCTTTTCAGAAAATCTGGTGGCGCCTGGAATCGAATCCGGACTTCTGGACCACGAAATATTTTGATGCGAAAGAATTTTCGTGAATGAACACACGTCCTGCTCGCGAAGGCTCTCAGCTCGCAGCTTCGGAGCCGTTACGCAACTACTGACAGAGGCAGCCTAGCGACCAATGTGTCACTGACTCGCTTATCATGATAACAGTTGAGAGAGAGCCCATTATAAGGGATAATGTCTTCAGATTTCACTTCTGCGCCTTACAACATAGCAGTTGTTCGGGTTGCGCATGAAATGGTACACAATCTGTACTTCACGGTTCGGTCGTCTGAATGTCTTTAGCTATGAGCGGTTTCGCTGCGAGAAAATTATATCGTCATCAAGGTAGGAGAGAGGTTTCTTGAGCACAGGTGACGTAGTAAACCGGAACTGTGATACCTGATGATTAGATACATTTTCTCTTTTTTAATTGGCGCTACAGCCCCAATTTGGGCCTTGGCCTACATCCATGAAACTTTCCGTTTCACTTCGGTTTACTAGATCTTAGACATTCGGTACGACACCTTGGGAGGGTGATCAGCTCGTCGCAAGAGCTCGATCTGTACACAAACATTAAACATCCATGTCGTGATTAGGATTCGAACCCACGATCCCGGCTTCCGAGCGAGCGAAGACAGTGAATGCCTTAGACCGTTCGGCTTCCTTGACCGGGAGTGATTAGATGCACATTTAAATAAATTCTGATTACAAGTATCCGCCATTACGTCTACGCCTTTTTCTTCTGATGAAGGTGATGGCCAGGCCAACCACAATCGCAATCGAGGTTAAACAGACACCCAAAGACAAATAAAGTACAAGAGAACTGTCTTGGTCTCTCGATATAATCTTGTCGCTGTCCACTTCTTTCTTCTTATGGACCTTAATGTCTTGCCTGCGACTCGAAATATTGAGAGAACTTGTATTCAAGTTACTATGCGACAAGTCTTCACTCACAAATGTGTTATTAGCACTGTTCCCTTGTGACGCAGATACTTCTGCGCTACAAGTTTCACCACAGTGGTCACTTCTGGAACTACACCAAGCACGAAACTGAATACATTTATCTTCCATTTTACAGTCGTCACATAATACAGGATTAAATGACAAATTCAGTAGTTTTAAATTATTCATGCCATGAAACAAAGTTGAGTTCATAACAGTTATTTTGTTGCTAGAGAGATCCAGCTTCGACAACTCATGTAGTTTGCTGAATATATTGTTTTCTGTGTCAGGTTCGATAGGAAGACTCAAACAGTTCTTATCCATCTTCAGTTCCTTTAGATGTAACATATCATGAAACGTTTCAGGTGATAACGTGGTGATTCCACATGAACCCAAGTCAAGATTCTCTAGAACAGGTGCTCTCAGTAAAGGCACACCTCCTTTCATTGTCAGCGTATTTCCACGAAGATTCAATGTCTTAATTTGGGTCTCTGAAAATATATTACTGTCTAATACTTTTATTTTGTTATGGCTGAGATCAACATCAATAATATTTTTGTTGGTGTCAAAAGTGCCTGGGGAAATTTGTGTGATACGGTTGGTACTTAGGTTTATGCTTTGGATTTCAGTGTTTGTTGTGAAAATCTTTGAAGGAATGGCTGTAATTTCGTTATTACTAAAGTGAATAACCTTAAGTTTGTTGTTATGGAAGAATATTTGATCATCCAAATAAAATAATCTGTTTTCCCTCATTTTCAAAATTGAAAGTTTTTTGTTCGTTCGAAAAGTTTCAGGATGAATATAACGGATATTGTTGTGACTGATGTCTACTGAAATGATAGTAGGATTGTGAGAGAAAATGGCGTCATTTATTGAGCTGAGATTATTGTTACTCATGTTCAGAATTTCTAGTCTACTGTTGTTCTTGAAAATGTTCGTGTCGACATGTTTAATAGCATTGTTACTTAAGTCTAAGTTCTGCAGATGGATGTTACTGCTGAACAGGTATGCTTCAAGAGACACAATTCTATTGTGACTTATGTTCAAACACATCATAAAATGAGCTGATTTGAAGATATTAGGATGAAGTCTCGAAATCCTATTACTGCTCATATCCAGTTTACTTATCCTTCTGTTCTGTTGAAATATCTTTGGATCTAAATCAATTATCTCATTTCTCGAAATGTCTATCTCCACTATAGCAGAAGTATTTGAGAACGTGTGTGCTTCAAGTTTTATGATTTTGTTACCCCTGATTACTATTTTCCAAATGTCAATGGCATACATCATCATATTCGGATTTATTGTACTAATATAATTATGCTCCAAATTAAGTTTGTACAGGTTATTGTTGCTGAACAATCTTTCATCGACATACTCAATATGATTGTAACCCAAATCGATGTGTTGAAGTTTATGAAGAGATTTGAATGTTCCAGTCTCCAACTTACGGATTTCATTATACCTAAGTATAATTTCTTTAAGATCCCCTGTCGCGTTGAATGTTGTGTTATTCAGAACAGACAGCTTATTGTGACATGCGACAATCGTGCAGGTATTTCTATTCATGTATGTTGGCAACACTGTTAATGAAGATGCTGTGAGGTTCAATGTGCAACCTTTGATGACACGCCCGTTACAGGAGTCCTCGTTGCGAGCTGTCACCATGGTAACCAACCAGGCTGTTAAAACTAACCGCAAGTAGCCCATCATACCTAAAAATATTATTAAAAATATTTTAATACTTTGTAAGATTTGAGGTTTTCACGGCGGTCACTATGATGAAAGCAGTCTTCTGAGATGTGGCGCCGTGTAGATATAATGTTAACCGGCGTTTCGGAGGAACCTATCGCCTCCATCATCAGGGTATAAGACAAGAAAAAATCCGCTAGCGAACCAGCGTGAGCAGGTGCAAGAGTGCGGATTTCTTCTTGTCTTCAGCCCTGATGATGGAGGCGATACGTTTCTCCGAAACGTCGGTTAACATTATATCTACACGGCGCCACATCCCAGAAGACTGCTTTCATCATTTTAATACTTGTGTGAACATGAAATAGACCGTGCGTTTAATTAGTTAAGCACTATGCCATGAAGACATTAGTGAGAGTGGAGGTACTATGGGCAGTGCAGATTTGTCTCTTCTCCACAATGCCCAGACTGGATCTGGGGCCCACCGAACCTCCTATCCAATGGACATCGTGGGGTGTTTCGCCCGGGGTAAAGCGGCGGGGGGCTAAAGCTGACCGCTCTGCTCCATCTACTGCCGAGATCAAGAATGGTGGAGTTATACTTCCACTCCCCCCCCTCCACATGTCTTCATGGCATGGTGCTGAACTAATTAAGCACGGGAACAAAACTTCTATATTTATTATAATAAATAATTTGTGCTCGTTTCGTGCCAGTTTTAAACTATAACCCACACATTTCTTTACAATTGGTTCGGGTCGTTCATCTCATGTTTAAGTCTAGTTTTGTTTTCTCCAGTAATGTAATTGTGTGGAGCTGTTCTATGCTTTCTGCGCTACTTTAACTATTCTTAGTACTCAATTGCCGATCACAGTGGCCGCACTGTGTAAGGTATAAACTGTCTTCGCTTGCTCGAACATTGGGATTGTGGGATCGAATCCTACTCAGGGCATGGATGTATGTCTGCGTTTATTTTATGTTGTCCTGTGTAGGCAGCGGCCTTGCGACTTGCTGATCCCCAATCCAAGGAGTCCTACCGACTGTATAAGATTAAGAAACTGAAGTGAAACGAAGCGTTTCACGGATGTCCTATGCTTCTAGCAGGAGCAAGATGAATAAAGATAGATAGTTCTGAATTAGGGAGTCGGGGTAGCGCAGTCGGTCGACTTGCTGATCCCCAATCCAAGGAGTCCTACCGACTGTATAAGATTAAGAAACTGAAGTGAAACGAAGCGTTTCACGGATGTCCTATGCTTCTAGCAGGAGCAAGATGAATAAAGATAGATAGTTCTGAATTAGGGAGTCGGGGTAGCGCAGTCGGTCGACTTGCTGATCCCCAATCCAAGGAGTCCTACCGACTGTATAAGATTAAGAAACTGAAGTGAAACGAAGCGTTTCACGGATGTCCTATGCTTCTAGCAGGAGCAAGATGAATAAAGATAGATAGTTCTGAATTAGGGAGTCGGGGTAGCGCAGTCGGTCGACTTGCTGATCCCCAATCCAAGGAGTCCTACCGACTGTATAAGATTAAGAAACTGAAGTGAAACGAAGCGTTTCACGGATGTCCTATGCTTCTAGCAGGAGCAAGATGAATAAAGATAGATAGTTCTGAATTAGGGAGTCGGGGTAGCGCAGTCGGTATAGCGACCGAGGGGTCGGAGTGCGGGTCTCGGTAGGGTAAAGATTTTTCTCTTCTCCACGTCATCCAGACCGGCTCTGGGGTCCATCCAGCCTCCTATTCAATGGGTACTGCGGGTTCTTTCCCTGGGGGTAAGTCGGCAGGAGCGAGAAGCTGACCACTCACCTCCAACTAATGCCGAGGTCAATAACATGTGGATTTTTACATCTACTTCTCCATACGCCTTTATGACATATTGCTTAATTAGTTAAACACAGAGACAACTTTATCTCTTACCGTTTTAGTGCTTAATTATATTCAAATAAGAAGTTACAATGCAGCTAGATTTACGTTAAGTCCCAACAGCCACATGGCTTTAGTATGTACTTTTCTTTCATTTGTTAATTTCAGCTATACCACCAACACAACACTTCATGCGTGGGTCCATTCCTATGGCAGCACGCACTGGTTGTGGGGACCGGTTGTAGAGGAGGCCAAGGCTGACCCAGGGCTGTAGCGCCGAGTGGTAGGTGGGTACCAACACAACAGCGGAAAGAAACGTTCAGTTGCGACTGTTATACCATTTAATTTAGGGTACTGGCTGTGCTCTGAAAGCTTCGCAAGTCTTTGTAATGTACTGATTTGTGAAAAAACAACATGGCTACCGCAAGAAGGAAAGATTCGTTTCTTTATCTTAGGATGTTTTCTTTTAATGATATTGTAACGGATTTAATCAACGCGTTACCAGGCAACGGCTCTGTAAACACGGCCCGTTGCTAGGTTACGCAACAATAGAGGAGTCTGTGTTTTCTGTGTCGCCCGCGCCAAGCGACAGTGGAACAACCGTGTTACGCAATCCATTTCTAAGGAACGGAACTGTAAACACGTCTACAATAATAGGTGTTTTCCGTGGAGTCCGTGCAGACTTCTTATAAGAGAACTGAATTTAAGTCGTGATCCTCAAGGGGCCTGACGCCAGGACGAATTGATTGGCGGTTGAGGCACTATATTACAAGCCAGCATGTTGCGGGTTCGATTCTTGACGAGGTCATTTTTTTTTATTGAACTAATCCTTCCAGCCGCTCTATGGTCCCTGGGTCGACTCAGCCTCTAACAGAAATGAGTACCAAGAATCTTCCTAGGGGCAAAGGGCGGCCGGCGCATAAGGCTGACCTCACGGTCATCTGCGAGCCGATTGTCTAGAAAATATGGGAGCCTCGACGGGTCTCCACGGTCAGTTATATACGAGTATATTTTAGGTTCTCACAGCGGAGGTATCATCTGGGATACAAGGCCATATATTCCATTGAAAGCCAACCGATTTTTCGTAGGAAAATTTCTCCTGCCTTGAAGAAGTATGCGACATGTTTCTCCAAAACGTAGGTTGGCTTTCAACTGACTATACGGTGTTATATCCCAGAAGATAGAACGCTTGTTAACACTTCGTCTCCTGAGATGGTAATATACACAGGTCCTTAAAATTTTTGTTTAGTTTTGTAGAACTTCAGCCCAGCGAAGTAGTGATACTGAGGAAGGAAGTTTGCGTCCGGATGTTTCGAAACAACTGACAGCATTTAGACTACTCCGCCCAGAAATTATCTCTGTTTTACTGCGGGATCGTGGCGGCATCTCAACGTTATAAGTTGTGAATAACTGTAAGTGTCTAAGTGACTCTCCAATAAATATTCGTTCAAACCCGAAACCCACAGAATTTCCTGTGGCGTTGCCTAGCAAACACGCGACAATATACATAAATTCAAATCTATTCTGTCATGGCATGATAAGGGGAAGAGAAGTGAAGTGAAGTCTGGTTACAGCACATTTTGATCACCCCCAAAATACACCCAAAGAACGGTGCTGTATAGTCTACTTGATTCAATGCACAAGCTTTCAGAATAATAAAATAAATAATAAATGATTTCGCATCTAAGCAATTTAGTGTAAAGTGGTAAAGATAAATGTAAAAATGTAAAACTATCCCTGTAACAGACCGTGGAGGCCCATAGGTCTGTGAGACATCGAGGCTCCCATGTTCTCTAGACAGTCTGCTCACAGATGGCGGTGAGGTTGACAGCCTTTACTCTCCGGTCTCCCTTTTCCCCCAGAAAGATTCCTGGTACTCATTTCTGTTGGAGGGTGAGTCAACACCAGGGCCATAGTGCGGCTGGAAGGATTAGATCAATAGAAAATTCCGATCACCTCATCGGGAATCGAACCGGCTACCTTCCGGCTTGTACCATAGTGCCCAACCAGCTACGGTACCCAATCAAAAAGTAGTAAATGAAAAAAAAAACTTTACCCTTAACATCTGTAAATACTACTACTACTACTACAATTAAAATTGTCTCTGCGTTTAACTAATGCATAACTACGCCGTAATAATAATAATAATAAGAAGAAGAAGAAGAAGAATTGTCTCCTATTTTTATTTACTTACGTGATCAATCTACAGCCTAGTGATCAGTTAACAATGCCATCACAACCAAAAAACAAAACAAACTCCGTTGCTTGAGTCCGCAAGCGAACTATACCGACCGAGCGACCGCCGCTTGTAGGCTAAGTTAGTGCCAACCTTAGCGGATATAGAGTGCCACGAGGTCAGCGCAACGAATCCCCACGGGCGTTAATTTCGATTTTCTAGACCAGAACCGCTATTTCCTTGAAATAGCTCCTCAATTATCCTCATGAGGCTGAGTGGACTCCGTTCCAGACCCATTACTTCTCAGAAAATGAGGTAGCGCCGGGAATCGAACCCGGACCTCTGGATCTGTAGGCTGGAACTCTGACTACTAGACCACAGAGGCGGTAATAATAATAATAATGATAATGATAATAATAATAAAAATAATAATAATAATAATAGTAATAATACATATTTATTCTATATGTATTTTGTGAGGTGATGCCATACTTATTTCATTTCTGTCAATTTCTCCCCTAAAGGCATAATTATCTGTAACCGAAGTGATCATTAATTCGGCCACGTTTGCAGCAATAACTGTAACAATATTTATACTAATATTAANGATGATGATGATGATGATGATGATAATAATAATAATAATAATAATAATAATAATGCGGGGCGCGATATTTCGGTCGTCAGTCACCTCTTGGAAGTCACTGCTGAGATGTAGGTGAGTACGTTTCTTACATCATACACAAGATTCAAACGGAGGCATGACTCCATTGTTTCCCATCTCCCGTCACAATGACTGTTTACTTTGTTTTATCTAACCACTTGCCCTACAACCACCAAAAGCAAGATAACTGTTCATGACGTATTGATATTCACTGACACTAATTAAACTCCACTAATTACCTCTGTCTGCGACACATTCAGTCTGGAGATGACGACGCACAGGAAGCAGCTGCCTGCACTGAGGATCTCACCTATTACAACAGGAGGTACACATTCACAGAGACGCTTACCTCCCGCCCATTTCTTATCGCTGCAAAATACACGCATACACGGAAGTTCTGCCCCTACCTTCTCTCCAGGTTTGTGACCTGACATTCTTTAAAAAACTGATACGCCTGTCATGCGGATATGCTAAAGTGTGTTCATAAAATATTGTAGCTGTGACTAGGTTACGGCACAGGAAACTTCAACAGAGTAACACGTCACATCCGCTGTGACGTCACGCAACAATAGGAGAGCTGCGGGAAGCGGTGTTGCCATGCGGTGAGGCACCGGGCCGACAGTGCCGCTGCAATGGAGCGCACCACCCACATCAATAGAGGTACAGTGTTTTCTGTTGTGTCACCGACCGAGTTAGACTGTTCCCAGCACCTGCACCGTAGCCCAGTGACTCGGAGGAGCCCCAGTACCTGGGGATATAACTGGGACACCTGTTCCTGGGGGATGTAAATACTGGGGCCTGGTCCTCCAGGCTAAGGAAGACTCGAATCTGAAGCAGCAAAATTTGGTCGTGAGTACGGCGTGACTCGGACCCAAGAATGACTGCGCTGATAAGTCTACCAGACTACACGGCATAAATTACCAGAAGATAGTAATCTCCCATGGAATCCGCGTATTTTTCAAAAGTATTTTATGAATACCTCATTGGGACTCCACTACAAAGCCACCTGCAGAGAGCTGTTAGAACAAACTCTCGATCATGCATCCAACTTGGTGGCGAATTTTGAGTGTGTACCATGACATAGTGCATGACAAGGAAACTAGGTAGCTTAATGTTTATTAATTCACAATAAAATGGTAAAAAAAATGCAAAGCTATCCCAGCAACAGGAGGACCGTAAGTTTGTGAGACGTCGAGGCTGCCACATTTTCTCTAGACAATCGGCTCACAGATGGAGGGGAGTAGGGGGCGCGGACTGAATTCATTTGGCTGAAGATAGGAAACGGCCCCCAATCCAAATTTGATATAAAACAGGGCCCCAGAGCCGGTGAGAATACAATTACAATACCTTCCGGATATCAAACTCCGGACTCCAGTCTGATATATCCAATTTGTATGGCACTCAATGCCCAGTTAAGATTTCATCTAATGGTAAAACCGCAAAGCTATACCATTATCTTATCGCATAAATCTGGCAATGCCGCACTGAAGATATCAGCGTTGCCTCACGTGCCAGGATGTTATCTATTGCGACAGGAGGCGAGACTAATAGCACTGGGTCAGTGAGACTGGCTGCTGGAAGAACATGTACGTAATTGCGCGCAATTATACACGTAGCAAGTTTGTGTTCCGTTTAAAATGAAGCATTGTTAACTTCTACCTACAGACACGTGTGGAGACCTATTGCTATATTTCACGTAAATTTCATGTCTGCCACGAGCCGAGGTAAATATGAAGTGATTTATTTGCGTAAGTTAGAGTGGTGTGAAATGTTCATACGTCACAGTAAAATAATTCGCAAGAAACATCAAAATATGGTTTAACATTATAACATCTGTACCGTAGATTAGGTGGTCAGTCACAAGTTTCCCGCCGAGAAAGCCCGAATTCGATTCCGGGACATTGCATATAAGATTTATGGTACAGAACTTGGTACGAGGACTTGTTATCTCCTAGTTTTCGGTTTCCCCTGCGAATTCAGATCCTACCAAATTATGCATTTCTCTCATTTACCGTTCATACCAGATGCGATAAGCCATTCCCTGGTGGTGGGGAAACATTTTCCGAAGCGTCGGAAATCCATTCCAGCCTAACATGGTTGATTGTCCGAGATTTCACTCAATTTAACCCTCGTGAAATCTTCAAATATTATAGGCCGATTAATTATCTAGATAAGATTTGAGGTTTTCACGGCGGTGACTATGAAGAATGTCGTCTTCTGGGATTTGGCGCCGTGTAGATATTGTGTTAACCGACGTTCCGGAGGAACGTATCGGAGGAACGTATCGCCTACATCTTCAGGGTATAAAAATCAGCGAGTTTCATTTCTAGATAAGGTCTGAAGTTCTCATATCTGTGAAATTTAAATTTTTGGGCTTCTGGGTTAGCAGTCATCTAATAGTATGAGAATATTATATTTTTTATTATAAAATTATTTTGAATATATCCTATCATCTTAAGTACATTTAATAGCGCAGTCGGTATAGCTACTGGCAACGAGCTGGACGACCGAGGGGTCGGAGTTCGAGTCCCGATAGGGGCAAGAATTTTCTCTTCTCGTTGTCCAGACCGACTCTGGGGTTCACCCAACCTCTTATCCAATGGGTACCGGGATTCTTTCCCCAAGGGTTAAGCGGCCGGGGCGTGAAACTGACCACTAATCTCCAACTAGTGCCGAGGTCAAGAAAATTGTGGATCTATACATCCACTCCTCCATACACCTTCCTGGCGTAGTGCTTAATTAATTAAGGACAGGGACAACTTTAACTTTTACATGGATAATTATTCAGCCTACCGTCCTTAACTGTAAAGCGTATCAAGTAGTGTCTTCAAATGTCTGGTTACGTGAATTGAATCCCCCCCCAAAGAAAGCTATGACCAAGAAATTTGACTGAGGCAGTAATTCATCTTACTTGTACTCCAGAGATTTCAGGTCCGAATCCCGACTGAGATATAAACTATGAAGATTTAGGCTTTGCGTGGTTTTTCTCAATGCCCTCCACCAGAAAATGCCGGTATAGTGCCTCAAATTAGGTGACAACAGCTTTCATTCACACCCTTTCGAATTCGGTGTTCTCTGCTTGGTTGCTGCGTAAGTTTATTTGCGGGATATTCACCGGACAGTACGAACGGGAACACAGACACTGGAGAATCTTCATTGTTAAGAACCGTTACCTGGAAACGACTAGTGAAATAAAACTGTGAAGTGTGGAAATCAGCGATAATGATATAGTTATTCTTAGTCACGACGTATAAGTTGTCAATAAATCTATTCACCAATGCAAACCCCGTCTATAAACACCCGTAAATCGTGAATATATATATATATGTATGTGAACATTTTTGGCCTCGGCACTAGATAGAGGTGAGTGGTCAGCTTCACGACCTGGCCGCTTTACTCCCATTATTTCTTTAGGTAGGAGGCTGGTTGGGTCCCAGAGCCGGTCTTGATGCTATGATTATGAGAACACTTTCTTACCCCTGCTGGAAATCGAACCCAAATTTCTAGCCCTCTTATCCTGTAGCCCATCGCTATACGATCTATCCCGGCACCCATATCACATTTATCGTCAATTTATATGTAACTTCACAAAGTTAATAGAAAGTCCGTCGAGTGTAACAATTTGTAGGTCACTTTTTATTATTGTAACTTGTTTCTTATCCACAGGCGAGCCTACTTTAAGAGGATGATATCCGAGTTCCTGATGATCGTGGCCCTCGTCCTGGCGCAATTTGCCGGAGTATCGCCGTGCCCAACGAGTTGCAGTTGCCAGAGAAGATATACAGACTGCAGGAACTCCTCACTGACATCGATTCCTACCAATGTGACAAGCAACACATCAACAATCGATTTCTCGTTCAACAACATTTCGATCCTGAAGAATCAGGACCTGCCTGAACTGCCTCACCTGAACCTCATCTTCCTGAACAATAATAACATCTCACAACTAGAACCATATGTTTTTCACCAGACGAAAAATCTTCTTTACCTATATTTAAATAACAACAAAATTATTGAAATTAATATCAGTTTATTTCAGTTTTCGAAAAAACTGAGATATTTATATCTACAAAACAATGTTATACGATATATTCATCCGCGGCTTCTCGAACATAATTCCGATCTTGTCATGTTAGATATTAGTGGAAACAACATACATAAAATAGAACCACAAACATTTGAAAGTAACCGTATACTTTCTTGGGTAAATATCGGAGGTAACCCTCTGACATTGCCTTTAGAATGGAACACACTGTTCAGTGACTGCTTTAATGTTCTAGACATTGATATCTGTGGTTCCTCGAGTTCACCCGTCAGTGTTTTCCAGAACGTCCCAAGTCTGAATTTTATGGGAATGAATCATCCTAACTTTCTGAACCTGGATGAATTTACATCACTTGAAAATATTCTTGGGCTAAATAACGTTGAAAGAGAGTACCTGAAATTGAAGCTGTTTCATCGCCTATATAGTTCAAGTTATGCATCGATTAATACCATGAAAATTGGAGAAGATTTCAATGTTGTATCCCTGACAGAAGACGCTATCTTGTGTTACTGTGAGCGCCAAGAATTCTGGTACTGGTGTAACGGGCAGTCGGAAACAACTTGTCAAAATATTACGACAAAAACAGGAATTCACAAGCTTCTGGAGTGCGATGTTCAGACACATGACGTAACTTCCGCCCCGGATAACAAGTTTCAAGATATGACCTCAGGCAGAGGCAGAAATACGAGATTATTTGGTCAAATTCATAGGCCAGTTAATTGGAAGACGATCAGAAACACATTGTTATACGCAGCAGGGCCTTTCTGTATCATCATCTTGGTGATCTCGGTGAAACTAGTGAAAATCATAAGGATGCGAAGGTCCAGAGGTGAAACTACAGATTCATCTATTTACTTACAGCTGAAAACATCTGATCATGTGTAGCTGTCCATCAAAGAAACGCGTCTTTCCTGCTAAAATAATTCTGTTCTATTGTGGGGGCGGGGGGTGCTCATTCTCAAAACGACACTGTTACATGAAAATTGAAGTTGTCATTAATGTATTTTTTTAATGCTAGTGGGGTGGGACTAAGTCCCTTGTACTGCGGCCACTTCTGGCCTATTGTACCAGCCCCAGATGATAGGTGAGGGTGATTGTGGAGCAATTGGTGGAATGAAGATTGGCAGGGGAACCGAAGTGCTCGGAAAAAACCTGCCCTAGCGCCACTTTTTCCACCACAAATCCCACTTGACCAGACCCGGGATCGAACCCGGGCCACCGCGGTGGGAAGCCAGCGACTAACCGCTTGAGCTGTCATTGATGTAACTATGAACATTACATGAGACGCCATGCAGTTTGGTAGACAACTAATTTCTGCGTAACAGATATCACCCTTTGAAATCAGGAGTGATGTATTGGGAGTAGCTCAGCAGTCACTTATATGGAGCAAGTGATAAATGTCTATGCTATTTTGCATCTGTAATGCATATAATTGTGAACCTGCATCGAACTGAATTTACAGTATTGCTACTCTACTGCTTTAAGTGTTTCTGAATTTATAGTACGACCGCCTCTGTGGTCTAGTAGTTACAGTTCCTCGCTACTGATCCAGAGGTCCCGGATTCGATTCCCGGCGCTATCAGATTTTCTGAGAAGTAGTGGGTCTGGAACGGGATCCACTCAACCTCGTGAGGATAATTGAGGATTTATTTCAAGGAAATAGCGGCTTTGGTCTAGAAAACCGAGATTAACGGTCGTGGGGATCCGTTGCGCTGACCACCCGACACCCTCTATCCGAAAAGTTGGCACTAACTTCGCCAACAAGCGGCAGTCGCTCGGACGGTATAGTTCACTTGCGGACTACAGACCACGGAATTAAGATTAAGTTAAGTATTTATAGTATATATTTTGGTGTATACTCTATCAACCTTCAAGAACTGTGTGTTAAATCTTATTTACAGTGTTGCAACTTTAATGCTTTATGTTATTCTGTATTTATAATACACATTTTTGTGTACATTGTGACTTCAAGCACTCTGTATTAAGATCTATTTACAATGTTGACACAAATAAGTTAGCAGATTTGATGATTCGTAGAGAAGAAGATTCAGGTTGTGGTATTCTGGGTGGTCCGGTAGGTTGTTACCAATGTTACGGAGGATCCTACTGACTACGTTTTCAGGGAAATTCTCTGTGTCGTAATCCAAGAGAATACAATTACAGCTTTAATATTTTATGTGATTTTTTCTTTTACACATTTGTGTGAACTATGTGTATGAAATCTTAAGAAGTGTACATTAAACCTTTTTTAAAATACTGCTTTTGTGATATTTTATATGATTTCGTCCTTGTGGTATTCTTGTGAACTGTCATCTTAAATTTTTACAGTATTCTGCTTGCAATTGTTATGATTGTTTCTTAATATCTGTGTTATGAACTCCATGGCAACTTGTTCAGGTATTATTATCTAATCTGAAGAGTAAATTTAAGTTTCTTTCAGTGTTGCCGTTTTTATGATTGCAGTGTTTTATGCTGTGAACTCCTTAGCTATTTACTCGGCCGTGAAATAGTATTTTGCTTATCCTTCCAGCCGCACTATGGCCCTGGGGTCGACTCAGCCTCTAACAGAAATGAGTACCAGGAATCTTCCTCCGTGTGAAAGGCGACCGGTGCGTAAGGCCGCCGTCTATGAGCCGGTTGTCTAGAAAATATGTGATCCTCGACATCTCACAACCCTATGGGCCTCCAGGCCTGTTATTGGGACAGCTTTACGGTAAAATATGGTCGCGAGTCCCAAGGGACTCGGACCAAAGAAGGACTGAACTGGCAAGAGTAAGCAGCATATATAAAAGACAGACCCGTTCTCTCGTCAGAGAGGGCGCCCCACAGGAGTAAGACCGTAACTGTCAAACGGTAATAATTAATATCTGGTCATGAGCCCCAGATGGGGCTCGACACCAAGACTCACTGACTGACTGACCGTCAGTCGCAATGTGACTTTGACTTTGGCTTTGAGACAGACTGAGTGGAGGCGGGGTCGAATACCTCCACAGTGACCCTGCCAGTCGTAGAAGGCGACGAAAAGGGAAGTCTCAAATCTGAGACAGTAAAATACGGTCGCGAGTCCCAATGGACTCGGACCCAAGAAAGACTGCGCTTGCAAGGGCCAGTAGCATGTAGAAAAGATACCCGTCCTCTCGTCAGAGAGAGGGCCCCACAAAAAACAAAACCACAACGTTCAACTAATAAATATCTGGTCATGAGCCCCAGACGGGACTCGACACCAAGACTTACTGACTGATTTGGACTTTGAGACAGACTGACCGCCGTCAGTCGCATTGTGACTTTGAAATAAAGAGTGTAGAGTGTGTGGGAAAGAGACAATTATTAGAAGCAGCAGTATTGTTGTCGTTATATTATTAGTCTTCAGCCAGCGACCTCCAGCTCTTAAAGTTCGTCTCTGTATTCGGTGCAAATACAATAAATATCTATACATCAGTACAATAAGTGGTTGTTTCCACATACACACGACTACCCACAGAGTAAACAATTGGATTTGCGTAGAATAAAAAAACATGTATAAATCTAAAATTTGGAAAGGAATTTAATTAAACTGGTAAATATGTTGTTGGTTAAAAGACAGAAATTTCGTCGTTTCCGTTAAGACCGAGGACAGACGTTAGTTCTAACGGATCCAAACAGAGTATGCTGCACTCTAATTTCCTATAATTCCGTGGCCTGTAGTCCGCAAGAGAACTATACCGACCGAGCTATCGACGCTTGTCGGCGAAGCTAGTGCCAACTTTTGCGGATAGAGGGTGTCACGTGGTCAGCGCAACGAATCCCCACGGCCGTTAATCTCGGTTTTCTAGACCGGAGCCGTTATTTCCCTCAAATAGCTCCTCTATTATCCTCACGAGGCTGAGTGAACCCCGTTCCAGAACCACTACTTTTCAGGAAATCTGGTAGCGCTATGAATCAAACCCAGGACCTCTGGATCTGTAGCCAGGAACTCTGACCACTAGATCGCCGTGAACGACCGTCAACCTAGACAGATATGAGGTCTAATTTCAGCACTGTCTGTCCTTACATAAATCTGTTTACTTAGGTTTCTTGATCGATTTGTTACTTTTCTTAAAATAAAGTATAAAATATAATCTATAATATTTAATTTCAACATCCTGTTACATTGTGGCACCATTTTAAATTGTAAAGTATTCCGCCTGTGATGCAAACAAAGTCAGTCCTCTCCTAACAGACACTGTAAGTTCAGCTTTGGGTTCGTGACATCTCCCCGTCTTGTTGAATCTTTTTCCCCGTGGTTTATTTCGATCTCCATAGGCACTTGAAACAATGCCTTAAAATAAGCCATGGTCGCTTCTTTCCTCAGTCTTTTAGTTCATGATTCATAAACACCCCTTCATATTCGCTATCTAAACTTATATTTTAGATAAGTCACGTTAAGTCAACTAATAGCGATAGCAGGACTTTGTCAATAAATAAAAACTACACACCGTCACATGAGTAAAAGAGTGTATTATGTGCGCCAACACCAATTTAAGGAAAAGTGGGTTTTATGTAAGTTTCAATTGCAGTTTAAACGCTACTTAGAAGGGGCAGGCAGTAGCGTAGTTGGTTGAGGGGCTATGCTACAAGCCGGAAGGTCGCGGGTTCAAGTCCTGATGAGGTCATAGGTTTTTTTTTCAATTGACCTAATTCTTCCAGCCGTACTCAGCCTCTAACAGAAATGAGTACCAGGAATTAATCAAATAATTTTCCTGGGGAGTAAAGCGCGGCCGGCGCGTAAGGCTGACAACCTTACCGCCATCAATGAGCCGCCTGTCTAGAAAATGTGGGAGCCTCAACGTCTCACAACCCTATGGGCCTTCACGGCCTGGGACAGGGATAGCTTTACTTTTACCTTTACGCTACTTAGAAAGGGGGGGGATACAATTAGGACTCTCGCACTAGAAACTAAGATAAACTTACGGACGTCTGTGGAGAGTACGGAGAATCAGAAAAGTGGATTATACAGTTTTCATACAAAAGTAGATATAAAACACTCCAGTAAGGAGACGACGACCTGTACAAATAAAAATCGTACAGTTTGGGGATTCAAATATGAAAAAACATGGCAGTCTTTATTCTCATTATCAGAGTAGACAAGATAAGCTGGGACCTGTTATCATTTTCGTTACATGTTGTTCTAAGGTGGTGCAGGCCTAAGAGTCTTGTGAAATTACTTCACCCGCAGTATCATGTCAACTGGTGGCGAGGCTCCTCTGTCTCTCGCTCTCTGAATTTCTGTCCAGATCAGCACTCAACAGCATCAGCGCTGATCTTCCACCATGCTGATCCTGATATCTGTTGTAACTTTGACTTTAGGTAAGTGCATTTTGCTATATGTATTGCGTATATCCGTTGCTAAGCAACAGGGCGGTAAACACATTCCCGCAGAACCAAGCGGGCGGAACAATAGGTCGTCTATTGTTAGATAACGAGCCAGTAAACATTATTGAAAGAGAAGATGTTTTCCGTGGGGATCGTGCACAGTGGTTGTAAGAAGCGTTCGGCAGGACAGGAGTGGTAGCAACAAGCAAACGTCATAAAAAATCATGAACATGCAAATGTTCGCAACATTGGACAAGGTGAACCCCGACATGTGAAATATAAGAGGCTTAAACTTGGCGGTGGTCAAGCATACGACCGTTCAAGTGACTAGACTACCGTTGTAGCAGGAGGTACTAATGATAGGGCATGATCTGCTGTACTGAGCCTGGACTGACAGAAGCCTTGTCGTATATATTGTATATACATATATTTTATAATATGTAAAATGTAAATTGTAGATACTGACAACAGACTTATTGCTGCTGACTGTGACTGGCAAAGGACAGACCCGTCCTCTCGTCAGACAGCGCGCCCCACAATAACAAGCCTGAAACTTCCCCAAAATAATAAAGATCTGGTCTTAAGCCCCAGATGGGCGCTTCATTCCAAGAGAGACCGGCCGACTGACCGTGGGTCGTGACATAATCTTGACCTTGACTCTGACAGGAGACGTATAAGTTGAGTAGCAGTGAAATGAAGTAGTGGATTAGTGTAGTGTGGTCAGAAGTCGAGAG